GACCAGTTGCCATCCAAGGCTATAGAACCCAGTCTGTCCTGCTATTTTACCCCTAGCTGGAAGAATATATATTTGTGTGTGTCACTGAGGTCAGCATTGAGTGACATCTGTCTGTTTAATGTTTGAACACACTCTTCATGGTGTCCACTTTTATATTTACATAGACAGTATCGTTGATATTGAGCTCTTTTATCCATAATTATAGCATACCTTAAAACGATATATAAAATTCACATATATATTGTGTGTATTCGCGTACTACGTATTTGTCATGCTAACCTTTTATTTAATCATCCACATTATTGTGTTTTTCTTTGTGTGGATGGGGGGGGGAGCGTTCATCGTTTCCTGTAATGCTATTCGCCTGTAGATTTTTCCACGCATATTTAAACAAGAAAATAACATTTGGATTGCGTAATCAAATCTGATACTTTAATTGCCTCATCATTAATCAATGTATATATGACACTTAATAGTCAAGGCTATTTTAAAAGCATTTTGTATCTTTTCTCCGCAGTATTGTTGAATTTCCCATGGCACAATTAAACTTAACGTGTTGAATGCCAAATTAATCTTAACACAAAGTATCGTCATATCTGAACCGTAAGTAACAGGAATACAAAATCTTCTCTTTTTCTTTTTTTTAAATGAAAAAGAAAAGATTTTTAAACAAATATATCAATTTATCTTCAACATCTGTCTATATCTCTGAGATGAGGTATTATGATTACTTGCATCATTTACATTATTTGGACTGTTATTCTCATCTTCATTGCAATATTCACGACGTTTCGGCTGTTGTACGCTCCGGCCTTCATTATGTGATTAGAATTTCGAACCGTACCCTTTATTTAGTTTGTGTAAATTCCACGTGCCATGCCTCTTCCGGATGTCTCAGTTATTTCCCTTTAACTTAACTTTCCAAGTTTTGGTTCACCACTGCTGTGTCCTTGTATTGAACTCACAACGCTTTGGGTCTAGTCATTGGATCTAACCAACGTCTTTATCCACTTGACGATATGGAGAGGAGTTAAAGGGAGATAACTAAGGCATCTAGAAGAGGCATGGCATATGGAACTAGAACAATCTACCCCAGTGGACGAAATAAAGGGTTCGGTTCGAAATTCCAATCACCTGAAGAAGGCCGGTGCATACAACTGTTGAAACGTTGTGAATACGGCAATGAAGATGAGGATAACAGTACGACTAATGCAAATAATGCAAGCAATTTATCTTCTTCTGCTATGTGTCGTTTCTCTTCAGGATGTAGGCGATCATGGCTCGCCACATCCTCCTGTCCCTTGTAGCTCTTAAATTTTTGTTTTCTTGTTTTTTTCTTCCAAACCCCTTTCCGTCATCCATTTGCTCAAGCCGATCATGTATTTTACGCCCTGCTTTCCTCTGTCCCACTTTCCTTCTATTCGTCCTGTGAGTATCAGATTTTCCAAGCCCTGCTTCCTCATTTCGTGTCCGAGAAATTTCATCTGGTGTTAAGTATAAGTTTCCTTTTTGTTTCCATTTTCTCAAAACCTCGTCGTTACTCACATGTTCGGTCCATGGTATCCTCAGTATCTTTCTGTAGAAGCACATTTCTGATGCTTCAAGTCTCTTCTTCAAGAAGATTGTCCAGCACTCACTGCCATACAGGAGGACAAATATCATGTAATAGTTCAGTACTCTTTTCTTTGTTTCCAACGAAACTGTTATATAGGAATAAGTTGTCGCTGCTGACACTTGAATTTGAACATAGATCGTCAGTGAGCAAACACAGGCGATCCCATTATTGAAGTAGAGCACGTAACCATAAAGGAAACGTATATATATATATAGGAAATGGCTGACGACTAACGATTGTTATTTCTAGTCTATCCTCTATTACTATTCGTATCTGGATTTCTATTCTCTCCTCTATTACTATACGGAGCGCTATTCTCTACTCTGTTCACTATCGTATTTCTCTATACTGATCATTATTCTGTGGTTACTTTTTGAGCGAGTATTATCAAGCAAGTGTTATTAGTGCAAGTGATATTCGAAGGCGTCTGACACCAGTATTGTTCAACGGCGTTACTATAGTTGTATCAACGGCTGCAAAGTCTCTACTACAACGAGCATTACGAAAGTGATAACTAGTATTCGTTAGCATTACAAAAGTGGCAACGAGTGTTCGTTGACATCAGAAAAGAAACACTTCCTTATTTTATGGAGAATTTATAACAAATTTATTATTGGAGATAAAGAAAAGAAACATATAATAAGCTGCGGGCGTGGTAGTTTCGCCCCTCACCGCAAATTGCCACAAAACTGAATCACTAAGCTAAACCTCCAGTCGTATTCTAAATTAGATTGAGACCTTCTTACGGATGTCATACATGGCAGCATAACCATTCAAAATCATTTAAACAGTCAGCTGCCTTCTCAGATCAGTCTTTAAATGGCTTTGAATGAATAAAGCCTGTAGGTCTTAGCGAAGACAACCCTTCTTCACAGTTATAGTAAACTTTCTTATATTTGACTTAATATCAACCTTCTTGTAAGCATCCGACTGACAATTGGAAGCATTGAATTGACGCCGTACAGAAAGCAGAAAAAAAGAAAAGGTAGCAAACAGGCGATAAGAAAGAGAAAATATGAGAAGAAAGAGAGAGTAACAGAATGGAGAAATAAAACGTTAAGAATAAGGGAAAGAAAGAGAGAGAGAGAGAAGAGGAAGATGTAGATAGGTTAGAATTGTACATACTCGTGTATATGTCGACTTTTAAGATTTGAAAGATAGTAAAGAATGATATCAGTTTAGTTCTCCATGAGGTTAAATAGGACACAAAGTCGGTTTAATATAGGGTTTCAATTTCATTTAAAATAAAAGAAAAAAATATTGCTAGGTCTTCACAACCTCTACCAAAAGGCGTCAGGCCAATCTACACTCTCCTATTTAGTTTGATAACGAGGTACCGATCCGGAGTTGCAATCTCCAGCAGCTGATTTAATTTTACACATTCTTGCTTGAAGACAAAACAAAGAACACTGCTGTGCAAATTAATTGAAACAAAACGAATAATTCCGTTATTATTTACTTTTTTTCATATTTTTCTAATGAAACATGACCCAGTGCACATATAAGTACTTCGTATATCCATTCCACAAAGTCGTTCCTTGCAGATCGACCACAGATTCTCGATTGGATTTAAATCAGGTGAGATTCCCGGCTATTCTATAGTACTTTGATTTGCTCACTGTTAAGGCTTGCTAGTGTGTTCGTACAGCGTTACAATTTTCGTACGCTACCTTGATTAATGTCCATCGCAGACAATGGCTTTAGGACAACTAATTGATAGTCGAGACAACAGTGTCGGGGGTGATAAAAATTTGATGCAATCACGGATAACGCAATATTTTTCAAGGCCAACAAATTTCATCATACACCCCGAAAATAGATTCATATTACTGCACATCACTGCAAATGACCTAGTCTGTGAAAAAATAGAAATCGATTACACCCTGTCACTCCAGTGGGTCTAAAACTGACCGTATGGTGAAAGAAAGGAAACTAAAGTGGTTGTTTCAATTAATTTGCACAAGGGTGTACATCTTAGTCTTCGAGACTAGGCAGGCGTGAAAAATATTCTTCGGCTGGCAAGCATGAAAAATTATCCCTGCTACTATAAACGATGAAAACATATTAAATTTACTAATCCATTAAAATTAGTACTGGGACTTCAAAAGATGGAACTTACTCTCTTAAAAGAGGTCAAGTTGATCCTTTTTACGGTATTGTTCGCCCAATACAATGTCCATGAGCCACTAAAGGTCGAAGGTTATAGAATGAGGCTGTTTTATGGAAGTAGAAGAGGTGGGTTAAAAACTGCAGATTATGAAGATATGTAGGATAGATAACGGTTTATACTGAAAAAGAGGTTAAGACTGTGACGATCGAGGAAGCTTCCTCGGTGAGTTTTTTTTCCAAAGAGTTACAGTTCTTGGAAATAAGCTGTTCGGATAGAAATTTCTTCTTACTAATATGAAAATTAAAATTCGTATCAAGAGCAGCATAAAGAAGAAATGAGAGAATGAAATACAATGTAAAGAAAGGATTGGGTTTCTTTAAAAAAAAATATGGAAATGAATATAAGTAATGAAGAATGGTTTGGATTAAATCAAAGATTAAAGAATTGTAAGAAAGAAAGGAAAGAAGGAAACAAAAAAAGGAAGTGAAAGATTATGGAATAGTGAAGAAGATGGGATAACAGTTTGGTTTGGTTTGGTTTGGTTTGGTTTGGTTTACGGCATATCAACCTCAATGTGTCATTTCATGCCGACAACTTTTTTTTTCCTGGTAATATTTTTTTTTGTCAAAAATTTATTTCTGGTAATATTTTTTTCCTCAAAATTGTATAGCTGGTAATATTTTTTTTTCAAAAACGTATTGCTGGTAATAGTTTTTTTCTTCAAAAATTTATTTCTCGTATTAAAACCTATTTTTACACTTTCATAATGCTTTTTACCTCAGTTTCGTGGTTAACTATTTGCTCATAGTTGGGACCCTAACAGGTGCTACCACCCTAGGTCAGGGTGAACCTGGGAACACCAGCAATTAAGAGGTGGTTCCACGTTCCTCAAAGCCTCCTGACCAGACGCCTTGCTATTGGACGTAGTTTATCATCTTACCCTGGACGCGGATGTAGTTTATCGTCATACCCAGGACGGATGTGATAACAGATTAAATGATTGATTCGTTTTCTATGGTTTATCGACCCATTACAGGTTATTTAAAGCCAGAAACTATTTTAGATTGTAAGAATTTTTTTATGGTGGTGGATTATCATGTGCTACTGATACAAGTTTTACTAATTAACCCATAACTGGGAGGGAAGTGGTAGAGTCATACCTTTCCCAAAGGTATTTGAGCGTAAGTGAATCCAACGAGCCCAAAGGGAATTTGAACCCGGTTCTCCAATCAACAATTCTGATCATTTATCCATCACACCACCCGCACATCCAAGCTTACAGCACCTGGTATTCCCTAGCGGTTACCCATCTCGATACTGATTAGCCTCAATGTTGCTTAACTTCAGCGATCGTAAGGGAACCGGTATTTCAACATAAGCTCATATTAAATGAAAAGGAGAAAGAAAGAGAAAATAACATTGAATGAGAATAATTAAAAAAAAAAAGGAAAGAAAAGAATTTCACGATAATGAGTGTCATAACTCATTAGGGATGTAGCTTCAAGTACTGCAGATGTAGATGTATCTTGAAGACGACTGTCTGACGGAGCCCATCCCTCTTCAGGCTGTTTTGAACTAAGAGTTGTCCTGCTCAATTGATTGTCTTACTTGTCTGCGTTGCTATTTAGCCCATAGGAAGAGGGGATAGATTCCTGCCCTTCCCAAGGCTATTAGTGTGAAGTGAAAGAAAGAGACACGGCCAGATTTTGAACCTGGCACGCCGAAGCCACTTTCCGTGCCGACAGAGTTATACTACCCGCACATTTGGGTGATTAAAAAAGTTAAAAGAAAAAATTAAAAAAAAAAAAAAAACGATGAAAAGGGAAGAAAAAAAACGTAAAAAAAAGGACGAAAAAAGAATGAAAGAGAATAAAATGAAAGGACGAAAGATAATGCGAATTATAAAGAAAAAAGAAAAGGAATAATAATGGGAAAAGGAAGGATATAAAGAATGAAAGAGAAAAAGAAAGACAGGAGGAATAAAAGAGAAAAAGAAGGAATGAAAGAGAAAAAGGAAGACAGGAGGAATGAAAGAGAAAAGGAAAGAAAAGAGGAATGAAAAAGAAAAGAAAAACAGAAGAAATGAAAGAGAAGATGAAAAAAAGAGCAATGAAAAAGAAAAAAGACATGAGAAATGAAAGCAAAAAAGAAAGAAGGAATGAGAAAAAGTAAAAACAGAGGGGATGAAAGCGAAAAAGAAGGACTAAAGAAATGAAAGAGAAAAACAAAGACGGGGAAATGAAAACGAAAAGGAAAGACGGAAGGAATAAAAGAGAAAAAGAAATAAAAGAGGAATGAAAAAGCAAAAAGAAGGCAGGAGGAATGAAAGAGAAAAAGGACAGAAAGTATGAAAGAGAAAAAAAAGAGAAAAGGAATTATAACGAAAAAGAAGGACAGAAGGAATGAAAGAGAAAAAGAAAGACAGGGGGCTGAAAGCAAAAAAGATAGGCAGGAGGAATGAAAGAGAAAATGAAAGACAGGAGGCTGAAAGCGAAAAAGAAGGACAGGAGGAATGAAAGAGAAAAAGAAAGACAGGGGGCTGGAAGCGAAAAAGACGAGCAGGAGGAATGAAAGAGAAAAAGAAGGTTAAAAGGCACGAAAGAGAAAAAAGTACAGACGAAATGAAAGTGAAAACGAAGAATAGATTAAATGAAATGTGGCAGGAAAAAAACAGTAGATACGAATGGGTGGGGCAGATATTCTTGAAGAAAGAAAGAAAAAATTGAATCAGAGGCGAAATAGCGAAGAATATAAATACCGAAGTTAGTATAGGAAATTATCATGAGAAAAAAATTTTAAATGTGGGGTAAAAAAAAAAAAATATTAAAGATTCTTGCTCGTAATATTTTGAGAAAAAGCCCAACCATACAGGAACCGATAGACTAAAGATTTCAAAGAAAGAGCGCAGAACGAAAATAAACAAGGATAAAGAAAGCAGTCCTGTAGAATGCAAACTTTAGGAGTATAATTTTCTAACACAAAAAGAAAATCTAACCCCAAATGAACAAGACAGCCGACACAGTCACAAGTTTTGTCATATGATTTCAGTTGGTTGCGACAAAATCACATGACACAGCCAAACACAGCCATTGTCGTTCCAAAAGTATATACCATGCCTTCGTCTATCTGTCTGTTCCCTATTTTTTTTATTTTTTCCTGTCTGGTCGGCTGATATAGCAGCAAAAGACTGCTACGGATGCGTAGGTGAAAGCGAGGCCCACGCATGCGTAGGAGCGAAAGATGGACTCAAGGAAATCTTGATGCAAAAAATAGCAAATATAACCAAGGCTCTCTTTGTCGGAGGATTCTTTAATTTCTTTCTCTTAGTTTCAGCGGGCTGGGGTTGTCGGGGGGAGGTGGAGAGGTTTAGTCGCTGTCTGGAGTTATATTTGAACATTGATGTTGTTATCACTGTGGCGAAGTTTCTAACGGAAAATAAATGGACAAGCCAATGCGGACAGCTGAGTAAGACTTCGGGAAAATGTCAGCTTAGAATAGACAGTATTATTGTTTAAAATAATTGGCCAAATGTTTACGAGGGTATTAAAATGTACACGCACGCACAGTTATAATTATTTATCTATAAGGACTAGCTTAATATGACAGAGTATCAGTAATACTAGGGCACAGTCGGGATCAAATTCTGTACTTCCAAAATAGTTTGCGAGATGAGCTTGCCATCAATTGAGTTATATATATATATATATATATATATATATATATATATATATATATATATATATATATATATATATATATATATGTATGTATGTATGTATAATGATTAGTCCAGATGATCCTTAAAAATCGATTGTCCAGTCCTTAAGGAAAAAAAATCCTTCCTAGGTTACCCTATCAGCTCATGTTTAATTCTTCATTTTTTCCTTTCTTTCCCTCCCTCTCTCACTCTCGCCTTCCCTCTCCCTCTATCTTCCCTATTTCTCTCTCCCTTTCTCCTCCCACCCCCAATTTTTTAAAACCTTATATTAAAAGTTTTTTTTATTTTTCTCTCTTCCTCTTTTAATATTAAAACTTTTTCCTTTTCTTTTTCATTTTTTATTTTTTTCCTCTCCCTTTTCGTTTCGTCTGGATAAATTGACTCCATTTATTAAGAAAACGTCGGTCTGAAGAGATGAATATATTTTTGTATATTCATTAATTAAATTATAAACAAATGGATTTTTAAGGAACGTCTGAACTCATTATTATATTGCTCTGTTCTTACATTGAACTCTCTTCCGATTAATGTCTTCCTTGGAATTATCCTTACTAATTAGCAATTGATATATATATATATTATTTTTATAAAAAAATTTATAACATAAGTATGTTATAAAATCACTACAAAAATAGCCATATATATATTTCAATTAAAAGGTGCAAATATAATTTATAAGTTCATGAATCATTCATACAAAAAACAAATATAGAGGTTAATGATTTAAGGTATCTTATTGATATTGTTTGCGACGAAGTATTCACACCATTTAAATCATTAACCTCTATATTTGTTTTTACCTCTATATTTGTATGAATGATTCATGAATATATATATATATATATTTAATTAATTCATCGAGTCTGATAGAAACCTCTAAAGAATGCAGGAAGCACTGGACGGCCGTTTCGTCCTATATTTGGGACTCATCAGCAGTGCGCATCCACTACCGAGTATCGAACCCTGACTGTTGGGTTGTCAAGCGAACCAACTGTCCCAAATGGGCCTCGCTGACGAAGAGATTCCAAATCAGACTCAACTAAGCGCCGCTCGCTCACATATTCCGTGGCGGAACTCAACTGAGTTCTCTGTGACCATAGGACTGTGCCCCCGGGAGTCACGACTACTCTCACCAAGCCGCCACCAACTGGAGCATTAGAAGCCGGTTCAAGCGAAGATAAACACAGATAGTAATTAGTCGGAGGATTTGATAATGATATTTAATTAATTCATCGAGTCTGATAGAAACCTCTACAGAATGCAGGAAGCACTGGACGGCCGTTTCGTCCTATATTTGGGACTCATCAGCCGCGGTGACGAAGAGATTCCAAATCAGACTCAACTAAGTCTGATTGAGTCTGATTTGGAATCTCTTCGTCACCGAGGCCCATTTGGAACAGTTGGTATGGTGTTCGCTTGACAACCCAACAGTCAGGGTTCGATACTCGGTAGTGGATGCGCACTGTTGATGAGTCCCAAATATAGGACGAAACGGCCGTCCAGTGCTTCCTGCATTCTGTAGAGGTTTCGATGAATTAATTAAATATCGTTATCAAATCCTCCTACTAATTACTATATATATATATATATATATATATGTATGTATGTATGTATGTGTGTGTATTATATATATATATCTGTGTGTGCGTGTCAGCGCGCGTATGTATGTGTATAAAACTCGTCGCGTCAACCGACACAACAGAATAATTCTTCGAGACGTGAATGGTTCGTGTCCGAGCCTAGAGTAAAGTCAAAATGTTTGACGCTGATTTTCAAGATAGGCAAGTTTGGCGTTGTGTTATAATAATATAAGCTTAATATCTATCTATCTATCTATCTCTTCCATTCTTTCTTATCTATCTATCTCATTCTGTTCATATCTGTCTGTCCATCTATCTCATTCTATTCTATTCTATTCCTATCTATCTATCTCATTATATTCTTATTTATCTATGTATCTATCTATCTTATTCTATTCTTATCTATCTACCTATCTAGCATTGTCATTTTTTAATTTTGTGCATGCGCGTTGTTTGGTTTTTTTTTTTATTTTGTCGACTGCACCGCAGAGTAGGTTCAGCTGGGCACCGTCTGTCAGAAAAAGAGCACCATGACTCAATTCACCCCGCAAGAAATTTGGAAATGATATGCTGTACTGCTTGGTATTGGAAGCTTCAATACGAACATTTCAAAGTATTTGGGTTTCAATCTGCGGACAGTGCAGAGGATTCGGAAAGATTTGGATGAATCTAATAGTGATTCCGAAGGTCTTTGGATTGATCACTAATTATGGCGACCTTATGTTTTCACCTTCCCTCAGGGCATCAGACTCAACATCAAGTGCCTTGAAGAGGTACTGATGCCCTGGATCAACAGGGTGGCTGCTGGAAGACCCTATGTGCGGCAAAAGAAAGATGACATGTTGCACGAACCTGGGCGCAAATTTAATGTCGAAGACTAAGAAATTTGTGCTTTTATATATATTACCTCCGTATTAATCCTTTAATTAAAATTATATTCTCCAAGTAGAAATTAGTGTCAGTTTTCTTTTCATGGCCGACTTAATAACATCGAAAGGGTACCCATTATTAGTTAGAGTTTTGATAATTGTTTTAGCTCTTCATCTAATTTAGATTCTGAGCAGATCATTAAAGCTCTATGTGTAAGGGTAATAATTAGATTTTCTTTGCGTTTGTTAGGGCAGAATGCATCCCATCGAATGTATAGTCCGGCATATATATATATATATATATATATATATATATATATATATATATATATATATATATATATATATGTATATCAGGGACGTGTCGTTTAGCTAAAATAGATCAGCAGCTACATCTTCTTTCTGTGGCACAATATGCACCCAAATCCAACAAAATTATGAAGGTTACTCTGATTATTATGCATAAAATGTAAAATATTTTGCTTGTAGATTTACTGCATAAAGGTCACAAGCTGCCTACACTGAGTAATTACTGACAGCACGTGCCTGATATACAGTAGAATCCCTGACAACCAGACTAAGAAGGCCTTCCGGTTGGTTACAAATCCGGATATGAGGGTATATATTTTTAGATTAAAATAAAAAACTGAAATCATGTTTAACATTTATTTTCAATGTTTTATAGTAAACAAAATAAGCTAATGGTGAGTGAAATATAACAGAATTGATTTTAAGGAAAAAGAAATAAATTATGTAATGTTAATGAAAGTTCATAAAATTAAGTATGCCACGTATGCAAAACAAATAATGCAACGAGGATTTTTTTAATCGCTGTTGCATGATGATTCTTTCTCTTCTAATGTCATTCTTAACTTTTTCTGCATTTCGTTTTGCTTTTCTTGAAATGTTTTAAGCAAAAGACACTTTTTAACATTGCAATCGTCAGAGCTGAATGCTGGTTTTCTTTCCATAAAACTGACGAAGTTTTCAATAGCTTTTTCAATTTCAGTCCATGTTTCATCACAATCATATTTTTTATTTCCTTTTTCATTGTGACAGTGTGAACGCTGGAGAATAGTTTCTTTGGAAGATTTTATATCATAAAATGTTGACTTTTCTATGTTGAACTCAGCCATTAGTTACAATGAACTTTCACCAGCGTCTAGTCTGCTTAAAATTTCCATTCTTTGCAATAACTCCAAAGTTTTTCTTTTCCTCTTATTCCCATCATCTTTTGCACCAATACAAGTGTATGTATACAAGTAGAAATTTAATGAATAAAATGCCGAAAAACATTTGCCGTTGATAAAAAAAACAGACGAAATTCGCTGAAAAAATGCATCCCTACCCTACCTAGACTTAATCCATTTTCGAACGTAACTCATAATTAATACATTAATAGTTAATAAAAAAGAACACGCTACCGCGTCTGTCTAAATGATTGGATTTCTCTGTATCCTTCGAAACAAAAATCATGAATGTATGTGCTTTTAAAACTCAGTAGATTTTAAAATAAGTTATTCCAAAATTTGCTTGAAGATGAAAGAGAACTAATGATTTTAATTTTATTATATAATTAAATTTGAAGTTTTCTTTTCTGATTTTGAAACATGGTAATTTCTGTGTAGCGATGAAACCATATTTTTTAAATCAGTTAATTTATAATATTTATGTTTTGTAAATTTACATTGAGGACTATTTAAATAAAATAAAAATATCAATAAGAACACCAGATTACATATCTTACTGTTCTTCCTTTTTTTATAATATAATATATATATATATATATATATATATATATATATATATATATATATATATTATCACATCGCCCTTTTTTATATATATATATATATTTTATATATATATATACATTTTTATTTTTGATTTAGTTTTTTTTTTATATATATATTTTATATATATATACAGTGTAACCCGGATATAAGAGAAACCCGGATATAAGAGAGATTTTCTCTGGCCCCAAATTAGAGCCTGTGTATATAAAATAGACCAAACCCGGATATAAGAAACCCGGATATAAGAGACTTAGTCTCCGGTCCTGACAACTCTCTTATATCCAGGTTACACTGTATATATATATATATATATATATATATATATATATATATATATATATATATATATATATATATATATATATATATATATATATATATATATATATATATATATATAAAATATAAAATATATATATATAAAAATATGTGTG